GGACACTTGTCGACGCCGGCCAGCGCCGAGCTGGAAAAACTTAGGAGGGAGCTTATGGTGAGCCCTTTCACACTCTCTAGCCGTCGCTCCTGTTCCCAGCTGCACCATTCTGGGTCGTGGCTTCCATTTGCAATAAATTGTAACCGACCATCCGAGGGCGAGTAGGTCGATATCGTCCGTTCCGCGAGTGTGACCGGAATGCTTTTACCGATCCCACAGAATTTTCTTATACGATGGTTTCTTGTAGGAATGGTTGAAATCTTAAAGGGTCGGATAGAAATTGAACAACTGTTTTTCTTCTTTTTCGCTTTAACGTCTTAAACGAAGCAGGATTCGTGTTACTGATTCTAACGAGAGCTAGGAAATTGAAACGAATCCCTTTTCCCCGTCAACAGTATCGTAATAAGATGAACGAGCAGCAAAATCAGATGGTGTCCCAACAACGGTTAGCCCTGGCACAACGACAAGCGGAAATGGCGTCGATAGACGCGAGGATAGCCCAGCTTCAGGGTCGTCTTCAGCGTAAAAGAGCCTTGAATCAACGACTAAGCCAGCAACTAGGCTCTGGAAACCGCACGAACGCGAACACGGGGTTCACGGAGTCGAAGCTGGACTTCAACGCCGGAGGAAAGTCCAGACCCGCTGGAAACATAGCCGCCATCGAACCATACTCCCATATACCGAATGACAACGATTTTAATCTAAACAAGAACGACCCCAAGTACCAGACACTGCCTTACAACACCAAGTTCACGGTGAACTTCAAGGCGGCCGAGGACGACGTTAACAAGAACAAGATTCAGCACTCGGCCAGCGCGTCCCAGCTGGGTCAGAGAGCGGCGTTTCAACAATTTGGTCATCAAATCGCTCACAGCCAGTCGCAGTCGCATATTCAAGGTTAGTAGTTTGAACAAAATTTTCGAAGAACGATTTAATCGTAAGCTACAAGCTCGATTAATCGATGATTCGATTGATATTTTCTTAGGTCAATCGCAACTGCTAGGCACGAATCAACAGCAACATAACCAGAACCTAGCCAACCAGCCCGTGAACATGCAACAGACCTGCAACAACAATAACAATAATAACAACAATACCAACAGCACGAACAACAATTTGATCAGTTCATCCCACAACTTCAGTCCGGAGAGTCTGTCGCAGAACCTTCGGATCCATCAGCAGCAACAACAACAGTCCCAAACGCAACAGCAACAGCATGGGAACGTACAACAGAAGCAACACAACGTTGGTTCGTCGGCGTCGAATCTTGGCACCACGGTGTCCCTTACCCAAACTCAGAACCATAGAAACCTTCAAACGCATCAGAAACCGGTATCCAGCGTGGCGCCGAGTTTCTCCGTCAAGTCTCAGATTTATCAGACTTCCTCCACGAAAATTCATCCTGTAATGCCTCAAACGTTGAGTCTGATAGGCCGTGGGCATAATAACGCGCAAAATTTTGTCGGCTTGAACGCTCAAAATGCCAATCAACAGCAATCAAATCAATCTATCCCTAGCAGTCAAACGCCAAATCAGGATCAGACTTACTCGTCGAGGCACAATTATCCTGTGATTCAGCACCCAACTCAAGCAAACACTCACGTGTCTTCGTCCTCGGTCTATCAGACTCAGAACTCTCCTAACCCTCCGTCGACCATTCATTCGTCATCCAGCGGGACCAGCTTCGGGAATTCGGTTCAAAGGTACAATCAAACTCAACCGATGACCAGTCCTACATCCAGCAACGAACTATCCGATAAGATGAAGTTCGAGCAAGGGAAAGGCCAAGAAAAGTTCGAACATGTTCTTCCAGCTAAGCACGAACAGCAAAGGTACGAGCCCAATCAGGTATTTAAATACGATTCTCATCAGATAAAGTACGAGCAACATTCTAAGTACGATCAGCATGGAAAATACGATCAGACCAATCAACCAACGAAATTATACGAACAATCAAACAAGCACGAACAAACTACCAATCAGACGAATAAGTACGATAACGTATCGAAGATCGAGCAAGGGAAATACGAATCTGCGCAGAACAAGCACGAACAAATACATGGAACAAAGTACGATCCTAATCAGAATACTCAGCAGTACGGCAAGCACGATCAGCACGAGGTTAGACCGTCGGTGGTGAAGTACGAACACAATGCAGGATTCAAGCACGAACCCTCGAACAAATACGAAGTCGGTGGGCAACAGTTCAAACAGGACCCGGTCAAATTCGAAAACAATCAGAATAAATTCGAGCAGGGTTCCGTGACGAAGCACGAGCACAACGGGAAATTTGACATCCCTGCGAAGACCGCGGAGAAAACGTTCGAATTCGACAGGTTGAAGAACGAGAACGAGAGGAAGAATATGGGAGAGGACAAGACGAAACCAGCACTACCTCCTAAACCGAGCAAACCAAATCCTCCGCCACGGCTGACTCATCATGAAAAGGTGGATAACACAACCGACGGTATTAGCGACTGCAAGAACAATTTGGGAATCAATGCAAGGTTTGTGCGTTGTTTCGCTACCGTTTATTAGGCGTATTAATTTAGATTATAACGAATTTCACAGATTTCATAGCTATTTTTAAATTAAAATTTGAATTTCGGAATTTAGATTGGAATTTTGAGATTGAAATTTCTATCTCTATTCGAATCCATGCCAAACAACTATTGCCCAAAAGAAACTGGTAGATAGAACAGGGATTTTGGGAGCAGCTCGTAAAAACGATTACCGGGTTAATTATAAATGTTAATTAGTCCGTGATCGATTTGGCCGGTGAATCGAAGCCTGTCTCGAATAATAGACACCAAAATAGAACCACTACCGTGCAGCTGAGACAACAGTTTAGTGTACGCGAGCTCTTCGATCCATCGAGGCGGGATCCAAGTTCCTGTTTCCTGACCTAAGTTCCCTCCAAATCTTACCATCAAATCGCGCGCTTTTCCCCTTTCTTCGAATACACGTCAGTCATCGAAACTTTTTTTAAAAGATTAGGAGTTTGATAGATCCGGCGTTTTCGATCATTAATTCAAACACTTGACACAGAGTATCAAAGTTAGTTGTACGCATTAAAGCATCTAATTGTTCCGAAACTTCTTCGAGTCTCTAAGCTCGAGGATTAACCACGTCGATCGTACTGTCCCAATTAATGCACCTTCTTGGACAACCGCAATCCTCCAAGCTATTCTGTCGATCCTAACCGACGTTTCCACTGAATCGTTCACAGAACGGAGAAAGAAGAAGACGTACCGCCGATTCCTACGTCCGAACCGCCGGAGTCTCCAACGGAAACCCAATTCGGCAACCATCAGATCATCAAAGCGAGGCCTCTGACCCTGAAGAAGGCGCCGATCTCCGAACAGCCGAAGCTCCGTTACGCCAAATCGAATGTTCACGTGTCGATAAATCGACGGATTGAGATGCCACCGGCGTTTCTATTCCCGGAAACCGAGATTCCAGCGGACCTAATGCAAACGGAACAGCAGCAACAACAGCAACAGCAACAACAACAACAACAATCTCAGCAACAGTCACAAATCATCGACACGACGGACAATTGCAAGAAGAGCGGTATCAACGAAGATGTAATTAGCAACGAGAAATTGGAGGAAGCGGACATCATCGACGCGTTGAACGTTATTAATATCGAGGACAAGGCAAAGGCGAAAGAATCCGAAAGAAGAACCGAGCTGGAAGTCGATGGGAAGAGCAACGAGGTGATGAGGAGGAAAAAAGGGAATCTCAAGTCTAGCACAGGGAAGGCGAATCTTTCGAGGAGGGTTTCCTTCGATCCTCTGGCGCTTCTGTTGGACGCCAGCCTCGAAGGTGAATTGGAATTGGTAAAGAAGACTGCTAAAGAAGTGGCGAATCCTAGTTCGGCTAACGACGAAGGGATTACCGCGCTTCATAACGCCATTTGCGCCGGTCATCTGGAGATCGTTAAGTTTCTGGTGGAGTTTGGCTGCGACGTAAACGCTCAGGACAGCGACGGATGGTAAGAACCGCTCGTTTTGTTTTAATCGTTAATTTTATTTTGTTGTAAACCTTGAATAATTGTACAATTAATTTTACCGCAGGACTCCATTGCACTGTGCCGCGAGTTGCAATAATTTATCTATGGTGAGATTCCTGGTGGAACACGGAGCTTGTATATTTGCCACTACCCTCTCCGATCATGAAACAGCAGCGGAAAAATGCGAAGAGGACGAGGAGGGCTTCGACGGCTGCTCGGAATACTTATACAGTCAGTACTAATTTTAACGACTAGTAGAATGTTTCTTGAATCTTGATGAGCAATTGCAACAAGTTTTATTATAACTCACTGCAGGTGTCCAAGAGAAGCTCGGAATAATGAACAACGGGCAAGTGTACGCAGTGTTCGATTACGAGGCACAACACAGCGACGAGCTTACACTGAAGAACGGCGATTCCCTAGTTGTACTCCGGAAAGGCGACGACAACGAGAGGGAATGGTGGTGGAGCAAACTGGGACACAAGGAAGGCTACGTACCTCGGAATTTACTTGGCGTAAGTTGTTGAACTATCTACGAGGAGAGAAGCCACAACGATCTATAATTTAAAAAGAAAAAAGATAGAAATTCAAGCTTGAAACATCCTGAAAATATTCTAGATCCCTCCTTGATAATTTGTACCTGTTTTATGACCTATTTGTTCATTCTTCTAGCTGTATCCAAGAGTGCAACCGGCAAAGGTGGACTGAAGCGCGTCTCAGCCGGCGAACTCGTAATATCCGATGATTCATTACCACAGTATTCGATTCGCAGCTTTATCTCGTTAAGTATCATAGTTGCATCGTCGCATTACGGATCGTTATCTTAATTTAATCGCGTCCCATTGTCATCTGAACAAAGCGAGCAACAGAACGTTCTATGTAATTTTTTTTATATTTCTTTTTCTCTTTTGTAAAACAAAGCGAAGAACATTGCTAACAAGCCCGAATCATGGGTGAAATCGCGTAACATTAACGAACAGTTAGGATATAATTAAGAAAACCGAAAGAACGATGAACTGGATCTTGTATACGCGCAAAGTTTAATTGCACTTACTTTTTACAACTCTTGTTTACTTCCTTTTTGTAAAGGAAAACATAACCACGAGGTCAATTTAATTTTGATTATTATAACTGTTAGTCAGTTCCTTCAGCGAAAAAGTACAAAAGAAAATTTCAATCTCATTACCCGTGATTCCGCTTTTAGCCTGTCAACCGCATAGTTCAGAGATGGAACGTTTTCGTTTTAATATCCATCAGTTAAGATCACTCAGAAAGTTTCAGAAAGTTTTAAAAATGTCAAATTAGAAATTAATGCAACTTCATTTATCTCTGACACAAGATAAACGCAAATCTTCTTTCTATTACTTAAAAAACAATTTTAATTAACTTGATGTAACAACAAACGATAATAATTTACTTTTTAAGCTTGATCGTTTGTATTTTCTATGCTTTCCGAAACTGGTCGAAGCAGAGTCACGAAACTTTTTGAATGATCTTACAACCTTATCAGAGAGGCAACTTTTATTTTACCCATATTATGCGAAACGTTCTACGTGAACAGCGTAGACAAATTTAAAACGCGTTTGATTTGTTTCAACTAAATGTTTTTATTTAGATGAAGTCAGATTATATTGTTGCGCTCATTGTTACGTTTTTATTCGTCTGGTGAAATTTTCCAAATCCGATCGAGGCAAATTCGGATTTCGAAAATGTTCCTAAGAGTGGTGTATAATGTAATCTTGCCAATACGCACTTCTAAATGATCTGTTGTAAGAAAGAAAATTTGCGCTTATGAGCACGAAAGAGATCAAAAAGATCTCGATAATGGTACACGACTTTTTTGTCGTTTTGAGTTGTATTCATCAGTGCGAATTTCTAAGTAATCGACTTTTAACACTTGACTAGACACATGTATAATTGATTATCGTCTAGGAAAAATTCAAACGGCTCGATCAGAAAGATTCTGAGCATCGTTATACTATCTAAAAGAGTGTACAGGTATGTGAAAAGAAATTTTACACGCTTCTTAGGATGTTTCTGATATTTACACAATCACACACACACACACTCACACACACACACGCACACTACGTCACATCATACACCCGTAAATGAAGTATGTGCCTTTCAGAAGTAATAATGGATATATTATGTAAGAATGCATGATATATTATGACGAATAAATTGTTTTTAATAAAAATCAGTTTAGATGTATGTTTATTGTCATGAAAAGATACAGACGAGAAATTGTACCAATGAAATAAGTATCGTCCTTAAGTATTTTTGACAAAATACACATGAAATATATTAAAATAATGTTAAAATACCTTGAAAGAAGATGTCTATCATAAGTAAATCATAAATAACAAACGACACTAACGATATACACACTTGAAATAAGTTACCTTGCAGTGATAAAGTAATATCGTTTTTAAGCAATGTTCCTAGTTCGTGTAACATTAACTATAGTTGAAAAGTTTATAAAATGTCAAATATTTCGAACAATTAATACAAACGTAATATAAAAATATCATTTGATTATCTTAAATACTATTAACATTACTATTTTAATACCGTTCTATATGAATCTCATTATGTGATATTATTATAAAAAGAAATAGTAAAAAAAATATAGTTAATTTAACAACTATCAAGACTCATTGAGTCTTTACATCACGATTAGAATTAAAATTTATGCATATATTAAAAATATATATGTATATAAAAGTAATAGTATTTGTAATATGGCATACTTTATGTTGACGTAGAGAAAGCATTTAAGTTTCATTGTTTTTTACTTCGTGTATCAACTGTAAACAAACTTTTAAATCCTCATAATCTACAACCATCGCAACGAGCCTGTGAACAATTCCATAAAACGGGGTAATATCTTTTATGTTGAAAATACAAAATCCAAAATTTTTTGTCAGTACCTATCAGTAAATATATCCAATATGGTACTCGTGAAGTTTCCTCTTTTTAGAGCTTGAGAACAAAAGTGTGTCAAATTTTTAAAACATTTATGAGTCAAATTACACAGGCTTTGATTGTCCTCTTCATATAGTTGCTTTGTAATATTCCATGCTGCATAAACATATTGCATAACTGATACCCAGTGCTGTGATTCTACAAGCCTTTTCCCCTGATCTATAATAGTTTTCTGTACAAATTGGATATAGCGTTAATAACAAATTAAAAAAATATATAAAAATGTAAAGAAATCACTGCACACCTGAAAATTATCTAAATAAATGTGAATGTCAGATAAATCATCCCTATTAGATAGCACGATGCTAATTTGAATATTTTGCTTTAAAGTATTTAATGTGTCGATTAGTGGTTGTATATCAGCCATTGGCATCTTTTTTAACAAAACATTTCTTATTTTTTCATTCTCATGTAACAGACCATCCTCTTGCGTGGAGACCAAATCCATAATCATGTGAACTAATTGACTATGACTAAGACCCCTCAAACCATTTAATAAATTGCCATTAAAATATTTCGATGAATTATTAACATCCAAAGAGACCTGTGACTTTTTTTTCTTATCTGGTGTTGTAAACTGAGATTCATTGACATCACCAAGAGTAAGCCTTTTTCTAGGTGTACTTCTCAATACCATACTTGATTTTGATGGACTCTTCACTGGTGTGCGATCTTTAGAATTTGAGCTACAACAAATTCAATATATTTTTGCCTAATTGACTTATAACAGAAGTAATTGGGAACGAAAAATCTTTACCTAAAAAGGCTATTTCTTTTACAAGTATCAAGATCAGGGGACCAAACTATAGTTCTACGACGACGTCCTCGTTTTTGGATTACCATCTCGTCTGGGCTAGGTGCAGGGCTCCAAGAGTCACTACCGTGTCGACTGTTTAAAAAATTATCCATTGCATTAACTTCGGTAGAATTTGCTTCTCCTAAAACACGTAAATTGAAACTAAAAGAAGTAAACAAAAGATAAGATGACATGAAAAATGTAAGGAACGCACCAGGTGAAGCGGAATTATTAACAGGAATCACCGCTAAGGCTTGGCGAGAAGATCTCCTACGCGTTCCATCTGGTCTCCGCAAGAAATCTCTGGTTGTTGGAGTATTCATTTCTTTCAATATAACAGAGAATTATTCATTCGAAGATATAATTGACTGATGTATGTTTTCCTCGAGAAATTATTACTTAAATGTAGAACACGAAATGTCAACCTTATTTTCTGATAAGAACAAAATATTTAACTATTTCACATGGTTTATTGATAATCAGATGAAATTATTATCTATAAATTGGTAAAAAATACACGAAAGATCACAAAGAACACAAAATATTTAGAAGAAACGATCACGACAATGCGTCAAACAGAGTTATAACTTGTAACAAACAAGTCCGGAAAATGGCGGGAATGAATCTAGTTGGTTTATTCCAATGTAACTTTCTACTGAATTCTATTACACTACTTGAATAAAATTGACTTAAAAAAAATCCACGTCTTATTGACTAGGCATGTATGACAATTATTTTTGTGATCTGTGAAAGTTTTTAATTTTATAATCAAATATAATTTTTATATTTATTTCTATATCTTTTTTCATGAAATAATCGATTATTTACAAAATAATCTTCAATTTTTTACAAAATCGCCTATTCGTTGTTTACTATTGTTGTATATATCTGAAACAAATTTATTAAATAATTTCCAATAGAACTAACAATTAACCAATTAGAATCAACATAATAAAACATGACACTTTGAGGCTAGATAAGGTTATGTTAAAATATAATATTTTAGTAGCATGTGAGTTATGAGAATAGAACATTGTCTGGCAAATTATTAATTTTATATTATTTAATTATTAATTTTAAACTTTAAGATAACTTTAAATACTTTATTTAAAATTTATACGATAATAAATATCATAGTATTAAGTATTTTGCAGTCACAAGTTCTTATAAGAAACAGTAAAGTAAGTATAAAATGAGGTTATTTACAATGAACATTATACAATAGTTATACATAGACTTATATACTTTATCAGAATAAAAAGTAATTTAGCATCTTTTCCCTAGCATGGATGAATTATTAAATGATAAACGATTTGCTCATATTACAAGGGATCCTAAATTTAAAAGGATCCCAAAAGCAGAAAGGAAAGTGAAAATAGATAAAAGATTTCAAAGTATGTTTAAGGATAAAAAATTTACAGTTCAATATACCATTGACAAACGTGGTAGACCTGTAAATCAGACATCGTATGAAAATCTTAGAAAATATTATGATTTATCTAACAGTGAAGAAGAAGATAGAGAAAAAGAACTTGAAAAACCTAAACAAGAAGAAAAGAAACCTAAGAAGCTTAAAAAGATAAAAAATAAAAAGAATAAAGTTCTTCGATCAAAAAAAAGTGATTCAGAAGATGATGCAAATAAAAATGCGGATACTGATTCATCAAATAATAATTGTTTTTCAAGTAATGGGGAGTTAGTTAGACTTAAACCAAAAAAAGAAAATGATGTAAATTCTGAGAGACAGAGTAACATAGAATTTGACTCTGAATCTGAATCAGATATAGATGAGGCAACCGATGCAAGAAACTTAGAAGTAGATTTGGAAGAAAGTAAAAGGCAATTGAATATTAGAAATAAACATAAATCTCAAAAGCTTACAGATAAAATCAAAGAAAGGTTAAAAGATTTAACTGTGAATTATGCCAGAGGTGAAGGAATTTTGATGACAGACAGTTCTTCTGATGAAGAATGTTCTGAGATTTCTGGTAACATATATTAAATAATTCTAATTTTATATATATGTGTGTGTGTGTGTATATGGCATTTAATAACAATTTGTGTTACAATTAGATGAACAAGATATTGAACATGATTGGGGTGAATTAGACAAAGAGGCTGAAACAACAGATGAAATTACACATAGATTGGCAGCTTGTAATATGGACTGGGATAGAATACGTGCTATAGATTTAATGGTTTTATTTAACTCTTTCTTGCCTCCTGGTGGCTTTATTTGCTCAGTTACTGTAAATATAATTAATTAACAGATAAAATACATATTTTCAACATTTTTATAGTTAAATAATTCCAGATTTATCCATCAGAATTTGGAATACAGCGGATGAAAGAGGAAGAAATTAAAGGTCCAAAAGAATTAACAGAGATAAATAAGGAAAAGGAAAACGAAAATGGAAGTGATGTACGAATTCATGCTTTCCTTTTTAGAAATACAAGTGAAATTGTATATAGACTTAGAATATAATTTTCCAGGACGAGGAGGGGTCAGCATATCATATGGAAAAATTAAGACAATATCAACTAAATAGATTAAAATATTATTATGCTGTCGTTGACTTTGATTCTGCTGAAACAGCAAATAAAATTTACACTGAATGCGATGGTATAGAATATGAATCTACAGCAACAAAATTGGATCTTAGATTTATACCAGATGATATGAAATTTGACCAGGTATGTTACTTAATCCTAATGTATGTAAAATATATTCACTGTATATGATCTTAGATACTTATTTTAAGACTCCTAGAGAGGTATGTGATAAAGTGCCGGAGCTTACAAAGTATCAACCAAGACAATTCATAACTACGGCTTTGCAACAAGCTAAGGTACAGTTAACCTGGGATGAAACAAACCCTGAAAGAACCGAGATTGCACAAAAACTGAGTTCTGGAAAACTGAATGAAATTAATGAAAACGACTTACAAGGTTATTTAGCAACTGAGTCAAGTGACAATGAATCAGGTACTATATCTTTTTTATCACTCAGGACTTCGTACTTCTATTATTTCATTAACATTTTTTTTATTACAAAAGAAAAAGAGGAACAAAAAGATTCTCAAGAGGATAAAAGCGACTCGGAAGCGGAAAAGAATACCGATCCAGTTGAGAAGTATAAAGCTTTATTAAGAGAGATAGAAGAAAAAGAAGAAGCCAAACAGAAAAAGGACGTTGAGCTAGAATTTACTTGGGGTTTGGGCACAAAGGAGAAAGCTGAGAAACTGGTACAAGAAAGATTAAAGAAAGATCAAAACCTCACGCCATTTGAGCAATATTTAGAAAAACGGAAAGAGAAGAAAAAAGCTAAACGAGAGGAACGGAAGAAACATAAAAATGTAAATAAAGATACATTGGACTCTGAAGGTTCAGAAATGCTTGATTCAGATAATGAAATTGGAAATAATAAATTATCTTATAAAAAGAAAAACAGTATGGAAAATGATAGCCTTGCTTCATCAGATAGCGAAGACGAAAAAAAACGTAAAGCTGAATTAGAACTTTTATTGATGGATGAAAATGAAGATAACAAACAACATTTCAATATGAAGAAGATCGAAGAAAATGCCACAATGACAAAGTCTAAACAAAAACGATTGAGTAAGAAGAAAAATAGACAAGACCAAATAGTAGAAGATAACTTTGAAGTAAATGTACAAGATGCAAGATTCAATGCGTTGTTCACATCGCATCATTTCAATATCGACCCAGCAGACCCACATTACAGAAAGACTAAAGGTACTGAAGCTCTAATTAAAGAAAAATTGAAAAGAAGAGCTGATAATGAGTTTAGCGAAGTGAGTAAAACTTATTTATATGTATTCTCAGTCTACTTATATATATTACATGTATTTATTCTTGTTTTTTTAAATATTTTAGGAAATACCTGTTAAAGAATCAAAACTGAGCTCTAATACAGAATTGCAGTCATTAATTAAATCAGTGAAGAAAAATGCTAAAAATATTTCAAGGCCTATAAAATAATTCCTTTTATATATAATGTCATATGTTTTTAATAAAACGTTTGTATATACATATACAAATTTGTAAATTCAGTTATATTGAATTTTATTAATTCAAATATGTATTTCTGATAATTTATGCAAACCTTCTATACCTCATATATTAATCTATTTTGCATAAAATATGATGCTGTAAAATATTTAAAAAAGCGAAAGTCAATAAGCCGTGACACGACAAAAACAAAAACTAAAAAACTGTTGGTTGAGTTTCCCTTCTCCTACGGAAGTCCAACCCCACTCCTATGGCACTCGCCTTCGTCTCTCCCCACTGCAGCGACCATAGACTGAATTTTGAAGCAGTGTAAAAATATATACTAATAATATCGATAGTGCGGACGAACCACCATAAGCTGTGAAATTTCTGTAAAGTAAGATATAGCAATTATGATCTATGTCTATACTCTATGAAATGTCTCCAGAATAGTAGCCCTATGAATCGCCGTGTGAGATTTCAATACACGGTGGTATATATATGTCGTGTTGTATACGATTGTGCTTCAAACTTTAAGGGGGGAGGTGTCGCGTCTCGTGACGCTCATATCTCTCGCGATTCTCGATACTTCACAAGTGTAAATTGGGTTACCCGCCAGAATTCGAAACTATGACACCAATCACCGGTGTAGACTAGGTTGTTTAAAATTGCGCAACTTTTCATGCATATTCATAACGCAAAATCGGTCGAGCTCCCACGCTTTGACAAAGCTAGTCATCATATGAAAGGTACGATTCTCGTAGGAGAAAGGAAACTCAATCGAAATTTTTTTATTTTACTATCTTTGAAGGGTCTTGGGATGCGACAAGAAATTTTAATGTCTTTGATATGATAATAGTTATAAAGCCTGTTTATATATTATTACATATAATACATTAGATTCACAAATTTTTGTTTCCAGAATTACACATTTCCTTGTAAGACATTTTCATTATTGAACCGAGATTCTGCTTGATTATTTCACATTAATATTTCTTTCTACTATTTCTCTATTTTTTTGAAGTAACAATCATTCTCAGATTTTTTTTAACGATTTTATGTCATTAGGATTATTTTTCTTAGCTATAGGAACTTTTCTTTGGCTCTGGTCACATCTTTCTCTTACATTTCAGGTTTTTCTGTGTTATGGTTTATTGATTTGTACCCGAGAAAGAGTTCTAATTTCACTTTCTAAAGTAGAATCCAATGATATGATTAATATCCATGATGCTTAGGGTTTCTACATTATAACTTTCGGTCAATAACGGTCAGGTAAGTCCTTCTTAGTTCTTCTTCGTTTCTTTCGTTTTATCTTTAGAATAGGCTCACCTGAACATTATTAAATATTTTTCAAATATTCGACACAGGATACGTTAAATATGCTTACAGGAGCTATGATGATAAGTCATTTAACTGTGGTTAAACGCGGTTAAATTTCCGATCGCTCTCTCAATTTTCTACCGAGCTGGTCCATGTGAGCACAATGTTCGGTGAGTTCTGACAGGAACTTCGTTATTTAGAACTTTTCGATATCCAATTTTGATTCGTTGGTATGATAGCTATCATTATACCAAGTAGTTTTTACTTATCGCGATTTTAAGTTTATTTGTTTTCATTTAGTCTACATATATATATATAACAAAAATTTTCTCTTACCGTGACCTCATATCGATTTTTACAAATCGAGGGCGCGAACTAGTGCCGAGAACGCTATTGTCTTGTAGCGAATGTTATTCACTCCTAACCTAACCTATAATTTTACGAATTACCCATAGTTCTGTTTTATATATATAATCCATGTTTATTCACCATTTATTACGAAATAATAATAAACAAATATTTTACTTTCGATCAAAACATATATAACGGAAGGTAATAGATAATATGTGGTGTTACAATCTGTGTTTGTTGAATTTACATTTTTTACGAGGGTTTACATTTTAACTAATTATTTATCAATAAACCTGCATTTTTAACACTAGATCATGCTGAAATCGTAGTACCTGCAGAGGATACAAAAGATGAAAGTATGGAAGAAGAAGTAAATTTAACTTTAAAACTTGAAGAAACTGAATCACAGTCAGAAATAATGAAAAATGATATAGAAGTGGATCCTGAAAATAAAAAGGAGAATTCAACTGAAGAAATTGTAAAAGAGTCACAGGTGGAAGTAATTAAAAATGATGTCGCAGATGAGCCTGAAAATCAACAGAGTAGTGCGTTTCACGAAGAGATTATAAATGAATCACAACCTGAAATTGTAACTAAATCACAGTTAGAAATAATCAAAAGTGATGGTAAAGAAGAGCCTGAAACTAGAAAGTATGCAAAACTTCCTAAAGAAACTTTAATAGAAAATGAAAAAAATTTTGTCATTAATATGGATGATAATATTGCACATTCAGCAAATGTGGAAACAGCAAGTGATATTGAAATGAATGCAGAAAAAGTTGTAAAGATAACTGATGCAGAAGATCTAGAGTTAAATAAGAATGAGGAGCTCTCTAACAAGCAACAATTGGAAGATAATTTAAAGTGCGATACCAATAAGGATAATTTGAAAGATATTTTAGAAACTGCTAGTAAAGTAGAAGATATATTTTCTGAAGAACAGTGCCAAAGTACACAGGATATTGTTACAAGTATCCTAGATGATGTAAGAAATGCAACTGATTTCAAAAATATTTTAAGCACGGAAGCTGTGGTAGCAAATGAAATAGAAGAGGTTCTTCAACAATCTGGAAATATTCCATTAGCAGAAACTGAAATTGAAGAATTGACTGAAAAATTACCACAGGATTCAGAAGATATCCTAAATAAGGATATGGAGGATTCAATCTCAGAACACATAGATTCCCTAGAAGGACTGTTAGGTTTAGATTTAATACCAGAGGGAGAGGATTCCTCATTGAAAGCAACAAAAGCTGAAGAGGAACTTCAGAAATCAGACCAATTGTCAAAGGTTGTAGACATGAGTCTTTTATTAGAACAATCAGATCCCATTTCTGACATGGCACAAACTTCTGATTATATAACACAGGTGATCAGTAGTTGTTTAACAGATAGAAATGATTTACCATTAGAAACTACAAAGAAATCCAATACAATTGAAGTTGTTGATGATAAAGTTAAAAAATCTCCAGCTAGTGATATATTGAAAATCGATGGAAGTATAATTGTTGAGTCTATAGATAAGGATGAAAATGTTGAAGATTTACAAAAAGATTTAAAGCAAGTTACGGACCTAGAAGAAAATGAATTGGACATAGATTTTGAAGAAGCTCAATTGGAGTCTGTAGGTGATCTTGAAGACATAGAATCACAGCCAGAAATAGATAAAAATGATGTTGATGAAGAATCTGAAAATATTAAAAATGCAGGACTTTCTGAGGAAATTGTAGCAGAAGATCAAGAAAATTTAGTTATTAATATGGATGATAATACTGTAAATGCAACAAATGTGGAAACAGCCAGTGATATTGAAATAGAATTAGCTTCAGATATCTTGCTGCATAACATGGATCATAATGACAAAGCTGAAAATGTAGGAGATATACAGAAAGATTTAAAAGTGGATAGTGATTTAACAGAAACTGAATTGGATATCGAATTTGAGGAAGCACACCTGGAATCTGTAGGTGATCTTGAAGAAATAGAATCACAGGCAGAAATAACTAAAAGTGATCTCGAAGAAATAGAATCACAGGCAGAAATAACTAAAGGTGACGTTAAAGAAACAGAACCACAGGAAGAAATAGCTGAAAGTGATCTCGAAGAAATAAAATTACAGGCAGAAATAGCTAACAGTGATATTAAAGAAATAGAATCACAAGTAGAAATGCCTGAAAGTGATGTTGAAGAAACAGAATCACAGACAGAAATAGCTAAAGGTGATGTTGAAGAAACAGAAGTACAGATAAAAATAGCTGAAGATAATGTTGAAGAAACAGAATCACAGACAGAAAGAGCTGAAGATAATGTTGAAGAAACAGAATCACAGGCAAAAGTAGCTGAAGGTAATGTTGAAGAAACAGAATCACAGACAGAAAGAGCTGAAGATAATGTTGAAGAAACAGAATCACAGGCAGAAATAATTAAAGGTGATATTAAAGAAACAGAATCAAAGATAAAAATAAATAAAAGCAATATTGAGGAAACAGAAACACAAATAAATATAGCTAAAGATAATGTTGAAGAAGAACCTGAAAATAAAAACAATATGGAACTTACTGAAGAAATTATAATTGAATCACAGCCAGAAATAATGAAAAGTAGTGTTGAAGAAGAGTGTGAGAATAAAAAGAAAATGGAATTTACTGAAAAAATTGTAACTGAATCACAGCCAAAAATAATGAAGTGTGATATTGAAGAAGAGTCTGAGAATAAAAAAGAACTTCCTGTAGAACTTCCTGTAGAACTTCCTATAGAACTTCCTGCAAAACTTCCTGAAAAGATTGTAATAGAAGATCAGGAAAATTTAATTATTAATATGGATAATAATACTGTAAATTTGGCAAATGTAGAAAGAGCAAGTAATATTGATACTTCAAATATCTTGTTGCATAATATGGATTGTTATGGGAAAGAAGAAGATGTTGGGGATTTGCAAAAAGTTTTAAAAGGGGATACTAATTTGACAGAAAATGAATTGGGCATGGATTTTGAAGGAGCTCCACTGGAATCTGTAAATGATCTTGCAGAAACAGAATTACAGCCAGCTATAACCAAAATTGACGTTGTAGAGGAATCTGAGAATAGAAAGCCTGAACTTCCTGGAAAAATTGTAACTGAACCACAGCCAGAAGTAGTAAAGAATGCTGATGAAGAAGAACATGAGAATAGGAAAGGTGTAGAATTCTCTGAAGAAATTATAACAAAAATTCAAGAAAATTTAGTTATTGATATGGATGTTAATAGTGTAGATTTATCAAATGTGGAAAGATCAAATGATATTGAAACACAATTAACCTCAGATATCCTGTTGCATAACATGGGTCAAGATAACAAAGATAACAATTTTGAGAATTTGCAAAAGGATTTAAGAGAGGGTACTAACTTGGATATGGACTTTGAAGAAGCTCCATTGGAATCTATAGCTGATCTTGAAGAAACGGAGTCACAATCAGGAATTGTGAAAAATGATATTGAAGGGGATTCTTCTGAGGATAGAAAGAATGCAGGACTTCCTGAAGCAATTGTAACAGAAGATAATCCAGCAGAAGGTAATCTAACAGAGGATAATCTAACAGAGGATAATTTAGCAGAAGAAAATTTAGTTACTAATATGAAAGATAATATTGCAGATTTCCCAAATATGGAAAGATCAAGTGACATTGAATTAGAATTGCCTTCAGATATTTTGCTGCCTAACGTGGATCATGATGAAAATTTAGATGATGCTCGGTCTGCCATAGAAACATCTCAACCTAGTTCTGAAATATCTGAGCTTGAATCAGCTGTTAAATTCTTGCAAGAGTCTGAAGAACAAGCAATGGATTCTCCTTTGGTATTATCTCCTAAAATGATGGAAAGTGTCGTAGATGATATATCCAAACAAGCTGATGCATCATCTCTGTTTGTACCTAATGAAGATATATGCGAAAATACGTCAGAATTAGAAGTGGAGCTACAGAACATCACGACGGATTCGATTTCTATTTCTGAGGCGGAAATCATCTCGGAAGCTGCGAAACTGGAGAGCGAGAGAAAACTTGCCGAGCAAATTAAAATTGTTGCTTTACAAGACAAGTTTGAGATAGATGATGATAAAGAGACAATAAATGAAGATATAATCGAAGGGAAGATAACACTATCTGAGACTAAATTTGGCGTAACACCTTTGGAGAACATTGAAATACAGCAATTACGAAACTTAGAAAGCAATAAGATATCTGACGCAGTAATAGCATTACCACATGTTTCACCCAACGTTTTAAAGACATCCGAATCTATACCAAAAGTTTCGATTTTAGAAGAACGTCTAAGGGAACCACCCAAGATAGAAATTCCTACTACAGATGTGGCAAAAGTATCGTTATCTCCGAACATCTCTAAAGATAGCCTCTTGATTCAAAAGGATGCAAAATTAATTGCCTATCAAAAGATGTTGGAATCGCCGAAGATGTCCGATAAATCAGAATCGAAGATAGTTGACACACCACGAAAGGATTCCGAAAAACACGATTTCGAAAATGTAGGATCTCCACGAATCATTTTAAAGATAGCAAAGTCTGCAATCACTGATTGTGGCGAACCAAGATCACCTAAAAGTCCGAAGATCAGATCTGCGACCAACTCGCCAAATCCTGAAGACAGTCCAGGTCAAAAACTAGGGAAAATAAAATTGAAATTATCTAAAGGAGGTCATCCTTCTATAATATCCAATGAGAACATCGAAGAAGTTGGACAGTGGTATTCCGAAGGATCATCATCGTTATCCCCTCTTGGTATGAAAATTAAATTTTCAAAATCCGGGGATCCATCTATAGTTTCCGCTGAGAAATATGAATCAATCGATGATTGTAAAGAAGGTAAACACAAATTCGAAGAAACTGTGCGAACAGAATCGCCGATTGGAATGAAAATCAAGTTATCAAAAAGTGGTGATGCGTCTATAGTGCAACAAGATGCAAAAGAAATGCAGATAAAGCATAAAGATAAACTAGATATGGTTCAGGAAAGTCCAAAGAGAACAGAATCTCCAATTGGAATGAAAATTAAGCTTTCAAAGACTGGAGACGCCTCGATAATACAATCCGAGAGACAAGATTTTTTAGAAGAATATAAAGATAATGTGCAAATAAAACCAAAAGAGAAGCTCGAATCATGTTATGGATCTCCCAAGAGAACTGACTCTCCTATAGGAATGAAGATCAAACTATCTAAAAGTGGGGACGCTTCGATCGTTTCTCCTGATTTGCTAGAAGAAAATAAAGATATCAACAAAATGAAAGATAAATTAGAATTATCTCCAGAAATTCCAAAGAGAACCGAATCCCCAATTGGAATGAAAA